AAAGGATTCAGACTTGTGTCTCATTAGGTACACGTAACCATATCGTGAAAAATCATCGGTGAAGGTGATGAAATACACGTGTTGATTCTGTGTCCTAACATTCAGGGGACCTTATACATCAGTATGTATAAGGTCAAGTGTGCCTTGTTGAATAATTAGGGTTCTTGCTGAGCAATCTGTCTCAACATAAGCTGTGTCATCTTCAGTGGAGGCGGGTTTTGGTAACCTCTTTGGGCGTGAACACCTACGTTGGGACTTGGGAGTTACTATTATTCCGTATCAGGTATATCCCTCTCCCTCTTTTGGTTTCAGATCTAGTCCGGTTTGTTTCAAGAACGAACCTTGAAAATGTAGTTTTCTAAATTAAGGAATATGATTCTCGAATGGGAGAAATAAATTTTTGAAATTTTGCCCAGCCACCCTGCATGGTTCGGCCATCCATATGATGTATCTCCCATCCCTTCAAAAAGGTCATTTTGTGGTCTCGCAATCTTTAAAAAGCTTGAAAGATCTTCTAAAAAGACTTGCCCAATAGACCCTAAATCTTCATACATAGTTACCCCAAGGGTATCAAATCTATTATGATGAGCAAGGAGTCTTTAGTTTTTTTTTACAAATATCTCAAGACTTTTTAAAATCCCTTTAGTCCTCCTTTCAAGGGTTACTTTGATATTTGTTGAGTTCACTAATAAAGGAAGCAAAATGATTAATCGGTTTGGGTTGGGTCAGCCTTAATTGGACCAAACCCATGCCTACCCAACCCATCAATAGGGATGATCAGGAGTCAGGTCGGGTTTTTATAAGTAGTTAATAGCCTTGATGCCTTCTTGGGCTTAATAATGCATGTTCGATCCCGATCCCAAGCCAAGTATCTGGACTGGCCCATAAGAATATATAGGATTTTTGTTTTAAAACAAATAGTTTTAACATAACTTTATAATCAAATTATAGAAAATAAGCTTCAAAAAGTAACAGGAAATATGTTTGAAAATTTATTATATATATTAATGTATTATATATATATATATACACACACGCATGTGATACATACAATGTTTATATGGATATATATTTGGTAAAATACTATGCCATAAATGAAATATATTATATAATTATCATAAAAATGTAACATGTTATACAAATAAATAAGACATTATACCAATATTATAATATATTATAAATATACACACAACTTATACAAAAACAAATAAGCATTGAAATGGGTTACTATAATGTATCTTATACAGACAATGGATGATTTTTTTGAAAGTTACAAAAATGAGTGATTGCAACAATTCTACAAGTTGGCAAGTCATTTCTCAATTTGGCACAATTTCTTTTATGGTTTTGACCCTTTGAGAAGGTGGAAGACCAATTAAACTATAACCAAGATTTGGACATTCAATGTTAAATTGACATTAATCATCAAATATTTAGCACTACCAATTAAATAAAAGGGTAAATTGTTGAAACCTCCACTGAAGTTCAGTAATTGCAATTACCTCCCCTAAACTTTCTAACTCAATTGCAAGAAAACCCCCTCTATTAGAATATTCTAACGAGACATGAAAATGTCCAAAATATCTATGCAGTTATTTTTGACCAAAATGTTTATTTTCAAATTTTCTCTTCATATCAATTGTTATCCCAAACCCTTCCAAATTTTTTTCAGAAATTGATTTATTTTCCAAATTTCCCCCTTCATATCAATCGCTCAAATGTAAAGATGCAACTCTTTTTTTGCTCATTAAGTTTGTATTGGTTTTTTTTTTTTTTTGGTAGAAACCATCCTCAATAGTAACTGCATGGGTATTTTGAACATTTTTGTTTCTCTTATCAAAGGATTCTAATAAGGGGAGTCTACTTGCAACTGTGTTAGAAAGTTTAGGGGAGGTGATTGCAATTACCAAATTTCAAGGAAGGTTTCAGMAACCAACTGAGAACACTTGGGTTTCAATGACAATTTAGGATAATTGTAGATGAAATAGGAAGACATGTGTAAAGCATCTTTTACTAATAATGATAGAGGAGTGAAGCATTAAATATATTTTGGTCTTTGGCCACTTTCAATTACCATTCATGTTAAGAAATTATACTCATTAATCTCATTCATTAAATAGGTTTTATCAAGAAGGTTACAAAATACTTGTTTTCTCCTCGTTTACACTTCAGATAATGCCAAACATAATATTCAATACACATTAAGCAATTTTAGTCTTTAACTTCAGTCTTTAAATATGCTTTTATCAAAGACATGAAATACTTGTTTTGCCCTTATTTACACTTTAGAAAATATTAAACAAAAGGGTAATTTTTGTCCAACCAAAATTTCAGAAATATTATGAGAACATTCGTATATTTTATAGTAGTATAGATTTCTTGATTTCTAACTACTAATGATTTTTTTAGGATGACATGGCACTGAATAATAACTCCAGTACAAAAACAATTGGCCCTTGAAAATCAATACCAAACATACTCAAAAAAAAAACCAATCAACTTACATGGAATAAATGATACCAAACAACAATTTTTTGTGGTTTTTCAAAAATCACCAATTCCAAAAATCATTGATTTCTAGATAATTGGCAAGGAAGAATCACCATTGATGCCAAACATCACCTTAGTGTGCAATCATGACCCGGTTATTAGGTCGAATGGGTCAACAGTCCAACTACCTAGGCAGATAGTTTTTAACAAATTTCCAGGTTTTACTAGAACCGGACCCAAAATCCTAGCTGGATGACAATTCGAATGGTTCAACAAATCAGGACAACGGTGGGTAGAAAACACTATTTTGAATAACACCTAAATCTCATCTTCTCAATGCATTCATCCTCTATTGTTCCCTAAGTTACGCATTTCTAACATATTAGGCCCTGTTTGGAAATGTTCCCACCTGTTCCTATTCTTTTAGAAATTCTTGTTCCAGAACAAGAGTTTTATTTCTTGCTCTTTTGGAGTAACAAATATGTTTGGCAAATTGTTATTCGAGAACGAACTTTTGTCCTATAGGAATAGAAATAGTGTTTGGATAATGAAACTATTTCTTAACATCAGTTTTGCATATCCACCAACATTAAGCCTAAAATTAACCATAAAAAACATGTGACATTGTCATAGCGATGTCTTCATGTTGTCACCACCTAATCTATGATTACTTGATGATCAAAACAAAACATACAAGCAATAAAACAAAAGCCGAACATGCCATGATGCAACAACACCCACAAGCAGTAATGGCTACAAATTGATCCCTATTTTGTGCAATTGGTTCTTTACACACTTCAACATGTCTGCCACCATCATGGGGTATGAATTGGTCTACCCAAATGAAATCATTTTCGTGTGCCTGCTTGTTTAAAAATCATCTTTTTGGTGGGAGAAAAAACGATTTCAAGTGAATCTAGCCGAAGAAAATGTGAGTTTAAAATAGAGCACACGATACAAAACCAAGTGTGGTGACAAGACAACATACATGTTGACGCATTCTTGGTCGGAAATGTTGCCGATGCTTTCTACCATTCGCTCACGTCCGATGCTTTCTCACTGCAAATTTCCTCTGAGATTTGCAATGGCAAGTTGGAGGAGTTCACTATCGAACAAAAAATATTTGGTATGGCTTCTTTCTATCATTTAGTGCAAAATACCCAAAATGCCCCTTTCTTTCATGTGGGAGTCGTTAACACATGTTCGTTAATAGGGGTTAACATCATGGGAACCATACATTCCCTGGGAACGCATTCCTTGGGAGAGCCAATTTTTCACTTCCAAAGAACACATTCTTTGGGTGTTGTTCTCACGCAAGAACACCTTTTTTTTGTTTTTCTTGTACCAAACACGTTTCTGCTCTATGAGAACACTGGGAAGGCACAAAGCATCCTCATGGAATGTTGCCAAACAGGCCTTAATTTCCCCCAGAGATATGTATGTGACCTTGTAAAAAATCAATCATTTAGGTTGCATTTGGCATTGCTTATTTTAAAGACTTCTCTCTTTTTGTAGTTAAAAACTCGGTGTTGGGGCATTTTAGCTGCAAAAAGGAGGTAAGTCCTTAAAATAAGGAATGCGAAATACAGCCTTAGCATTTCCAAATAGCCACAACTATTGCAATCAAAATCCCTTTCGCACTCTATGGTAGCGTGGCATTCCCAAAAATGTTCTCATTGACCCCCAACAGCCAAAGTTTTTGGCTTTCGCACTCTATGCTTCTGCCACTTTGGTTGGTGTCTTAACAAGGAAAACTTTTTTAAAGAGGTATCTTCAGCTATATTGTTTTCATGTATGTCTCTATTTGAACCAATATCCTGAGAACCAAAATACACATCAAACCAGAAGAGTGTCTAGTCCACGGTTTTCGGTTTTTCTAGTTTAACATCACATTTCTAACTCAAAACTGCCAAGTCCATTCCAAATATTGCTTTCAACCAATTGCAGGAATGATTTGAGTTGAGTGTACCATTTCTGAGTTTTAAATATCCTCTTAATAATTTGATGACAAAAAGGGGTGCATTTTCAATCCAAAAATCCCAAGCGCAGGGTAATTTTGCATTTGACCTTGGAGCTGAAAATTTGCCTTCGTTACAGTACAATGAACATAGTTGATACACCTTTACCAAGACATATTTTGAAACTAGTTCTCCAAGGCTCAAAATTTGCAGTGAGAAAATTCATCTCTCAGACTCACCTTTCTAAAGCATTAAATTTACATGATAATGAAAAGATTCTAATAATCAATCAGAAAGGGAGAAGCAATGCAACCTACAATGCTCATTTGCGATAAACGTCTCACCAAAAATTCTTTATCGATGGAATTACTGTTGTCCTTTTCTTCCTCCCAACCTCAAAGCGGGAGAATCGCTTTGACTTGTTTAACTTTAATCTGACTGATGACACCTTACGTGCCACTGCCTGCCAGATCATTTGTACAGCATCATCCTTTTGCGATGGGTACTGAAACTCGAAGAACCTTTCAACCTCTTTCAGTCTTTGCCACATCCGTGTCCATTCCTCCTTAGTAATGCTTCTAATCAGATTGATGAGGAACTTTTCTTTTAGAGCATCCGATGTGCGTACAAAGATGCAGAATTCAGAGTAATCAAGCACATCTTCGTAAGGAAGGTCGATATCATCACTGATTATGACAGGCACACAATGGCTAGCAATGGCATCAAACAGGCGGTTGGATGATGGAGTGTCACCTGCAATGTTTAGGCAGAACTTTGAGGTGTGCATGCCCAAAGTGGCACTTCTAATCCCTTCACCACCGATACTCCCAAAAGAAAAATGCACGTATTTTTCTTCTTTCAAAAGATAAAACAGCTCTTGTCGAACTAACCCACCCTGCAAAGAAGTCCATGTCATATTAGCTAAGAATCACATGCTATAACAGTACAAGCCATCTGAGGTAACTTTGAACTACACAGTCAACTAATGGAAAAAACAAATTACAAAGCCAATAAACAATCTTGTGTGAACTGCCATTTCTTGAGTCCGATCATAGAAATGGGCCCCCATTAGATGATCCCTACTACCCCATTTAGATGCATTATTGACCATTTTAAGGACTAATAGAAAACAGCTTACCAAAAGGTTAGTAAATTAGATGGTTAGTATCAAATCAATTAGGTTGATTGATGATTCTATGGTGTAGTGGAATTTGAACCTACTTGGATAGTGAGAATTCATCACTTTTGAATGTCCACCACTTGATCAATTGTTGGCTAAGGCATCTAAATGGAAATTAATTCAATCATATCAATGACATTATATTAATACCCTGAAAAAATGTTGGTAGACCATACGGAGGCAGATTCAATCATCATAGTTCTCAATCATGTTAACCAATTATTTATAATTTATTTTGGTGAAAGGCAAGCTGAAATGCAATAATATTATATTGTCATATCAATAACATTATATTAACACCAAAACAATCATGTTGGTAGACCATCTGGAGTTTACAGTTATCACAGTTCTCAATAAATGTTATAGAAACCAATTATTGAAATTTATTCTGGTGATAGGAAGGCTGAAATTTATTTTGTGGAGACTTGACTATATTCTTTTTTAATAACTGGTAAAATTTGGATCATAAGCTACATTGATGATCAGATATGAAGCCAGCATTAATTTGGATCTAGGACATGCTGATAATCACAAGTAGGGGTGGCCACAAGCTGAGCTCTTCACGAGTTACTCGAGCTCGGCTCGTGAAAATCTCAGCTCAGCTCGGTTTCAACCGAGCTTCAAGCCGAGCTCGAGCCCAATTTACAGGCTCGTTTATTAATCGAGCCGAGCTCAAATAGCTGCATAGATACATACATACAATAACAATAACAATAACAATAACAATAACAATAACAATGACAACAACAATAATAATAATAATAATAATAACAATTATAATAATAATAATAATAAAAATAATAATAATAAATAAAATTATAGAAAATATTATATATAATATTTTATTTATATATAATAATAAATAATTATTATAATTATTAATTTTTTAAATATCGAATAAAAATATTTTTATATATAATTTTTTTTATAAAACATTTTTCTCAAGTCGAGCTCGAGCATACGAGCTTTTGACTCGAGTCGAGCTCGAAAAGCTAGCTATTCGGCTCGGCTCGGCTCAAATCCACCTCTAATCACAAGTGGGCCTAGGTTTCATTATTTTATCATAGCAAATAAAAAGAAATATACTGAAAAGGAAGAAAACAAGAGAATCCATCAAAGAGTTCATCTACTAAAGAGAATCCATCAACGTGAAGGAAGCCTATCCCAAATAACAAATAAAGCAATGGAGGGGGGAGTCTTGGAGGGCTTTCAAGTCCTCTGAAATGGATACTGAAGCTCCTTTATTGAAAAATGCCAATGACATTGTACTCTTCATATCCATGGACCCGAATCAATTGCTCCATCTAAAGTACTTACTTTGATGCTTTAAAGCTGTCACAAGTATCAGGATAAATTTCAACAAGAGTTAATTAATCCATGTTGGCAAGATGGGCAACTACAAGGAATTGGTAGAGATCCATGGTTACAAGATTGGCAAGCTACTATCCACTACCTGGGACTCCCTCTTGGTGCAGAGTGTACTGCTAAGTCCATTTGGGATCTAGTGTGTGAAATGTTAAAAACGAAATTAGCAACCTGGTAATCAAAGTATCTTTTAGTAGGAACATAAACAGCTCTATCGACGAGCACACTATTGGAGCTGCCCAATTTCTTTATGTCCATGTTTGCAATGCCAGCTGCCATGATAGAAAGATTGGACAATTAACATAGAATTCTATGGAGAGGCTAGGAGGAGGAACGGAAGAAAATTGGACCTGGGAGCAAGTTTGTAAACCAAAAATAGCAGGTGGATTGGGGTTTAAGAGGTTGAAACTGATGAATACAACCTTAATAGGAAAATGAGTTTGGAGGTTTGGTACTAAACAGACTAGGTTATGGAAGTAGATCATGTGGAAAAGTTTCAGCTGAGATCCAAGCATGCAAAATGGATCCTATGGATGTTCTGTTTGGAGAGGACTGCAAAGAGTTCATGCTAGTTTCAAGCAAGGAATCAAATTAAAAGTAGGGCCAGGAGACAGAATAAGATTTTGGAGAAAGGACAAAGTTGTTGGAGATATATATGGTGTGGTGACAAAACTTTGATGGGAAGATGGTCATAACTGTTCATCCTTGCAAAGAATAGAGAAGCTTGGTTAGAAGATGCTTATAAGATTGTGGAAAATGAATTTACTTGGTGCCCTACCTTTAGAAGACATCTAAATAATTGGGAGAATGAAAGCAGCAACTGTTGGGGGTGCAAAAAGCCAGGGAGATGGGAGCACAAAGATTGATTGTATAAGGTGATTCTAAAGTGGTTATTGGTTTGCTATTAGATGGGGGAGACACGGCTTGGTGTGTCAGAAATGAAATTAGATTGAGGTTCTGAAAGGATTTGCAGATTGAGGTCCATTAGGTATAAAGATCAACCAACAGCCTGGTTGATGGGTTTGGCAAAGCAGGGAGTTGATAGACAACAGTTTTTTTCGGCTATGCTGTAAAATGTTGTAAAGTGCAAGGGCTAGGTAGGATAGAAAAGGTTATTTGATTGTAATCACAATTCCTTGTTGTATCATCTTTTTTTCTAATTAATTAATTAATCTCTCCTTTTGTTGTCAATCAAAAGAAGTTGGGAAATTGAGAACCTGGCCTCTATGATAAGTCTCCTTAACAAAATATCTCCATGGCTAACTGAAAGGGATACAAGAATTTGGAGATAGGTCGAGTAAATTTTCTGTTGGGTCTTTCTTTAAAGAATGAACATTGCAGTTGAAACAGAACTCCCACATAAAGAGAATTGGCATACACATACTCCATCCAAAGTAGCTTTCTTGCTTTGGACAGCTTTGTTAGATAGGTGCTTGACCAGAGATGGCATAGAAAGGAGAGGCATTAATCTCCCAAAAATATGTTATGTCTTATGTGGGGGAAGAGAAGGAGATGGCAGACCATCTATTCCTTAACTTCCTCAAGACCAAGGAGATATTCAACCATTATTATAAAGATTTGGATCTCATCTGGTGTCATGAACAGTCTTTGAAGGAACATTTACTGGGAATGGAATATTAGGAGTCTACGTAAGAGGGAAAGGAAGCCATGGAGCACAATCCCTACAGCAGTAATATGGTGTCTTTGGAGAGATATATCAGAATTTTTTAGAATAAAAGCAGTTTCTCCATTGTTTCTCTCTTCCATCTTCAATCTTCTTCAGATTATTGCAGGTGGGATTTACATCTTGGTATCAAAGCAGAGTTCCTACCTTCTTCCTTTTTCTTCTCTTTAATCCCATACATAGGTTGTATGGAGAGTTCATTGGTAGATTAATTAACAAGTATTCAGCCCAGTTAGAGGAGGTTTTTAGAGAAGATTGCAGTGCTTGTTTGGGGCCCAAGGTAGGTTCTTGGAGACTTTCCCAAAAACCCTAGCTAACTAGAGAGTTTTTAGATTAAGGGATATAGAGGGAGTCCGGAAGTGGCGCTTAGGGCTAGAATAGAAACTTTCTCAATATATTTGAGGTCAATCTTGGAGAGATTTCTGGAGCCTCTGGTAGGAGTGGCTACACTTTCTCTTCTCCCAAGTGTTGGGTCCAATGAAATCATATTTTTGGTTGTTTGAAGAACAGTTTTGGCCTTAGGACAGTGAATCTTGACTAGTAACATCCTATTTTTATTTTCGTTTGTTTCCGTTTGGTCAATGGAGCAAACTAGAGGTGAGATGAAACAATCTATAGATTCCGGGTTTGGACTGGGAGGGTCCTTGGAGACTCTGTTGGGGGCAATAACCTCAGTGAAGTTAGATGAGACTAATTATGGCATGGTCTCAATCATTTAAGATTCATGTCTATAGGGGTACATCACTAGGAGTAAGAAGCAACCTAAGGAGAATGACCCTACTTATAAAAGGTGGATGCAGGAAAACTATACTGTTGTAAGTTGGTTAGTCAATTCCATGCAACCTCATATCAGCCAGCAATATTTTTGGATGGAGACTACAAAGGAGGTGTAAGACAATGTCACAGAGACCTATTCCTAGAAATTGAATGTTGCTAGGGCCTACAAGCTGAAGAATGGTGTAAATAATTTAAGACAATGGGAGAAACCTTTGGTTGTTTACTTCTCCATGCTGAAATCTCTTTGACAGGAGATTGACTTGATGGAGACTTTTGTGTGGGAGTGTACTAAAGATGTTAAGACTCATAAGAAGTTCGTGGAGAGGAATCGGGAGTTTAAGTTCCTCACTGGACTCAATCTTGAGTATGATATTGTTAGACAGAACAATCTAGCAAAGGACAAGATACCCTTATCTCAAGCTTATGCCATGGTTAGCAATGAGAAGAGTATGACACATGTGCAAGTTGCAAAAGTCTCAACTGATCACTTTGTCAATGCTAGGATGAAGCGAAGGGCTATCACTAAGAAAGATATAGTATGTGACTATTGCAAAAAAGCTAAGCACAGGAAGGGTACTTGCTAGAAGCTACATCCAAAGCATATACCTCCTAGATTCAAGAACAATAATAATTGTAAGAAGATTGAAACTAGAAAAGGTGGCAATGCCAATGTAGCCACCTCTTCTGAAGTTGAAAAAGGTTCCAATGATGAAAAATTAATGGGAGAATAGCTTGAAGTTGCCAAAGCATAGTATGAGAAGTATGACCAACTCATCAACCACTTATAATCTACTACTACAACTACTACCTTCTCAGGAAATTGTTCCTCTTCTGCCTATGCCCATTCAGGTATTCATGCTACAGTGAACCATGCTTCTATCTTAGGTAA